TTATTAATTTTTGAGCGAGAGAAACAGAGTCCAAGTTGGGGGTGGGCAGAGAGAGAGAGAGACACAGAATCCAAAGCAGGCTCCAGGCTCTGAGCTGTCAGCACAGAGCCTGACATGGGGCTTGAACCCACGAGCTGCGAGATCATGACCTGTGCTGAAGTTGGACATTTAACCAACTGAGCCACCCAAGTGCTCCCTTAATAATGTCTTTTGAGGTGCAAAAATTTTTAATTTTACTGAGTCCACTTTATTTTCTTTTATGGATCATGCTTTTTAGGGTTGTATCCAGGAACTCGTTTCCCAGCAAAAAGATTTTTCTCCTATGTTTTCTTCTAGACGGAATTGAAATTTTAACCAGCCTTCTGGGAGAATCTGTTGCACACTCCCCACATTCAGTGGTCAGACAGTATCTACCACCTGTGGATGGAGTGTGTAGACAGGTGGGAGTCTTGTCTGACACGTTGAACAACTAGGTGCTCTTGTGTCTGTAGTAGGAGTGTGTGTGTGTAAATGGCTTCTGCTTGTGTGATGGGGGTGGGTGTGGGGTGGGACACCATGAATATACCACTTCAGCCTCGGGAGTCACTGTGGTGCGGGAGGCAAACACCCGTGCCCCTGCTTTGCAGTCTGTGCTAGTTTAATTCTTACCTCCATGACTGTCCCTTTCTCATGCCACCCCCTTCCTAACCTTGGGTTCCGTCCTTCTTGACATTTTTGAGGGAAGAAGCTCTGAGGACAAGTGGGGGGAAGCAGCAAAGTCTGTCATTCACATACACAAACACACGTCCACCTGTCATGCACCTACACTTAGCAGCACCTGTATTTGCATAAATCCAGCATACACTCTGTTTAACTGTATCAACAGGAGCAAAAGCACTCGCAGATATCCATATGCATGCTGCCACATTCCTACAACACTCAGGAGGGCAGAAACTATGTCTGTGTGTACAGCTGGGGATTAGCGCTCCTTCAGTGAGTAGGTGCACACATGCACAACCTTGCTCCTTGCTCTGTCCGTGACAGGCATCATGGTTTGTGTAGAGTCATTTGAGACACACGTATGCTCACATATGTCCCTATTTGCACATGCACAAACAGCCCCACACAGCCTCGGTCTCCCTCCTGTCTTATGGGGCCTGGCCTCAGGGAGCCCCTCGTTTGAATAGAAGTTGGGATGGAGGAGGTTGCTGGAGGAGAGAATTTTCTGTTCCTTCTGACTACTCCCTCTGGCTAGGGGTCATGGGAGGGAGGATAGTCATTCTGCCCTTCTTTTTATTTTTAACTTATTAATTTGTAGGTTTTTTTTTTTTTTAAGTCAAGCTTGAGGTGTAAGTAACCTTATGTGTACATTTCTCTGAATTTCGACAAATATAAACATATACTCATATAACTACCACAATATGATATAGAATAGTTCCATCACCCCCAAAAAAGTCCCCTCAAGGCAGAGGGACAGAGGTGAAGAGGGAGCCTGTGCACAGGCCTGGGAGACACTGGGGCGGGAGGTGGGGATGGCTGTGGTTGCCTGTCCCGTGTCCATGTGTCTGTTGAGTTAGGACATCTTTGCTCCGCACTCTGGGAGGGGACTCGGCTTAGGAAAAGGTCAGCGAGGCAGGATCAGAGCCTGTTTCTAATTAAAATGTTGATATTTTGTCACCAGGGCTTTTTTACATTAATTCATATTTTTTAAAAGATTGGATTAAAGTACCGTTTATCATGCTTGCTGAGTTTTTGGTGCCCCCTTAATTTTGCTCCCAAGGCGAGTGCCTTACTAGCCTCACCCTAGTTGGTCCTGCTCTGGGGACAGGGAACTTGCCTGGGGTAGAGTGTGTGCTGTTCATTCTCCCTACATCCACCAGCACCACCACCACCACCACCCCAACCTCCGCCCTTTTCCACCTCTCCCTCATCTCTTGGCCCCTCCTTGGTGCCTGAGTGGGGACCCCAGGAGGAAGGGCACTTTTACTACCAATCACTAACAAAGGGATGAGGCTCTCCCAGCGCCCACCCTCTCCCCCAATCTGGGCTGTGGGCCATCACTCTTTTTCCCATTTCAGGTTTCAAGGGCCCTTGCTCCACTCATTTATCCCACATTCACTGATGCCCATTTATGCCAAGACCCTGCCCTCAAGGCACTGCTGGCTGGGAGGGAAGACAGCTGTGGAAGCAGACACGAAGGTTCAGTGTGGTAAGGTCAGGGCTGGAGGGAGACAGGGGGCTGGGGTCGTGGGGCCAGGAAGCTATGCCCTGGGGATGGTGCCCACACTGACACTTGGGAAGGAGGAGGCCTGCTGGGGGTGGGGGTGGGGGTGGGGGTGGGGATGGACAGTGAGCAGTTCTGTGGGGCTCAAAGAGCTCACACGCTGATGGTCCCCCATCCCAGGTGGCACTTCACTGTGTTCCATGCAGCTTGTGCTGGGTTTTTAAATTTTTGAATTGGTCATCAGGGTCCAAAGGCCCAGAGATTCCACACAGAAGTCCAGAATCCTGGTTTCATCAGCAAACAAACCAACCCAGAGTTCTGGCACTGTTGGTGTGTCCTGAGGGGTAACCCTCAGCCAAGTAGCGGCTTTCCACAGGGCGCCCCCGGTCCCCCACACCTTGCTTCCTTGTTACCTGTTGTGCTCCCTCTTTGAAGTCTAGAGCTGCGCTGTCCACTGTGGGAGCCACCAGGCTCATGTGGCTATTGGGCACCTGAAATGTGGCTAGTCCAAATTAAGATGGTCTATAAATGCAAAACACGCATTGAATTTTGAAGACTAAGTACAAGGAAAGAAGGTAAAATGGCTCATTAATAATTTTCAGATACTGATTACGTGTTTCCGTGCTAGTATTTTTGACACATGGGGGAAAATAAAATATATTAAAATTGACCTCACATGTTTTCTTTTTACTTAGAAACATTTTTTAGAGATAAGAGTGTGAGCGGGGGAGGGGCAAAGAGAGAAGGAAACACAGAATCCAAAGCAGCTCCAGGCTCTGAGCTGTCAGCACAGAGCCCACACGGGGCTCGAACCCACAAACTGTGAGATCATGACCTGAGCTGAAGTCAGAGCCTAACTGACTGAGCCACCCAGGCACCTCTCTTTTCACTTTTTTTAAAATGGGTACTAGGAAACTTGAATTTATATATGTGGCTCACAGTATATTTCTGTTGATCAGTGTGGGTTAAGAGCCTAGAGGACAACTGTGGAACCAGGCAAGAGGGGCAGGCAGCAGCCAGAACACTAAGAGGGTGTTATATGGAAGGCACTATGATTAAGGATGTGAACTTTGGAGTCTGTGATCAGAGTTCAAGACCCATTTCTGCTCCCTACTTGCTGTACCATCCATTCGAACCTCCTGAACTCTTAGTTTCTTCAGTTTGGAATGGGGATGGGTAATAGTATCTACCTCACAGAGCTGTCCACTTGGTATACAGTTGGCACTCATGATAGGCAACATCATTCTGCCTGCTATGACGCTGGCATTTGATTCACAGGGAAGTGATGGGCACTGATGGGTTTTAGTCTGGAGGTCAATGTGTTTCGGAAAGATCCCTCTGAAGCAGGGCAGGGAGACCAGAACAGAGCTGTGCCAAATTTGGGGCAGGAAGTGAGTGAGCGTCTGTGCACCTGTGGAGAAGTGACTGCATCCAGGGCCCAGTGGGAAAATGAGAGCCTCAGGGCAAAGTGACAGACAGAATGTGGTGGGAGAGGGCAGTGTGGAGGCACCACTGAGGTTTCTGGCTGGGGGCCTGGTGGAAGGTGGCAATGCACATCCAGAGACAGAAAAGCTGGAGGGGCTCTGCCAGGCCGGGAACCGGTCAGCCTTGCTTACCTCTGGGTTCCCTGGCACACAGTGCTCGGCAAATATTTGCTGAATGGCTGAGGGCTAAGAGTGCTGCCTTTGAGACCACAGTCCAGGGCTTGCTACTGGTTCTCAGTCTAGCAGCTGTGTGATCTCAGGCACACTGCTTCACCTCTCTGGGCTCCAGTCTCCTCATCTATAAAATGGGAATAGTAAACATAGCCCCCTCATGGATTTTTCTGAGGATTCAGTGAAGTTATCCATGTGAGCACACAGCATAGTGAGTGTTCAGTTAACTGTTGGCCCCAGGCTTCCCACTAATCCACACACACCCCAAACCCACACACAAGGACCACCGTCTCTCCCAAGGCTCTCACTTCCTTGGAGGAAGAGAAGCCTAAGTGGAAGCAAGTACTTCGATTATTTTCTCTTCCACTTGAGGCTAAGCAAGAGCATGGAGGAAGAACTTTCTTTCTGAGCCAAGAGCATCTAAGTGGGTTTGAGAAAAGAGTCCCTTCTCTGTCCTACATAGATTAGTCGATAGTTTTTGGGAAAGGGGCTGTGGAGCGTGTCTCTTTATTCTTGTCTCCTTGAGCATCCCATAGTGACTTGGTAGGGATGGGGACAGCGTCAGAGGCCTAATGGGGGCATAACCTTCCTGCCCCTGGCATGTGGGAGTCCAAAGTCTCCAGGCCTTCACTGGTCTGAGGGTGGAATGTGGGGATCACAAGCAGGCAGGGGAAGCTAGGGACTCCTTTCGTTTGTGCAGACCTAGCTGGGCCCTGCTGCAGTGACTCAGGGAGCCTGTCTCTGTATTTCCAACCTTCTCTTTGGTTGCACCTGCCCAGACTCCAGGACTCTGCAGAAGCTTTTTGAGTTTTAATAAGGAACCAGCCTCGCTCAGCAAAGGAACGCAGGTTCAGGACCCAGGCAATTCCAGATTCAATTTCCACCACCCATTAGCTGAGTGGACTCGAGTGAATCACGTTAACCTCAGTGTGCCCCAGTCTCTTCTTTTGGGAAGCAGGGACAGTAGGATAGCCCTCAAGCACTGCGATGTTTAGACTCAGCTGTGTGCCTGCATGTGGCATGGTGCCCAGCACACAGTCAGTGCTTCCTCGACTCTCCCACTGCACAGCTGCCTAGAGCCGGTGCCCTGTGGTCCCTGGCTCAGTGTTTCTCTCTCCCGTGCTCTTGCTTCTGTTCTGCAGTTCCCATCCCCTCCAAAGCCAGCAGCCTCTCGGCCCTCTCACTGGCCAAAGACAGCCTGGTTGGTGGCATCACGAACCCCAGTGAGGTCTTCTGCTCCGTGCCAGGCCGGCTCTCTCTGCTCAGCTCGACATCCAAGTACAAGGTGACGGTGGGGGAGGTCCAGCGGCGACTCTCACCTCCCGAGTGCCTCAATGCCTCCCTCCTGGGCGGTGTCCTTCGCAGGTAGGACAGTCAGCCCACAGGTCCCTGCCCAAATCCGAGGTCATTTCACACCTCCTTAGGGGAGCACAGAGGGGCCAGTCTCACCCCAGGCCACAGCCTCATCTCCATTTCTGCCTCCTTGGGGAATTGTGCCTGTTCTGGGGGGCAGGCCCAGGTCCCCAGCAGCTCCTACAGGTCTGTGGGCTTGGGGGTGGAGGTGGGGAAAGATGCCTGGTCACAGAGAAGGGATGGAGGGCTTAATCATTTTGGGCAGAACAGACAAGGCTGGGTCTGGAGAAGAGAAAATGCCGTCTTCATCCCCTGCCCCAAGGAAGGGACGCCCCATTCCCTGTGGAGCATGGACCTCTCTGGTGTGTTTGTGTTTTGAAGTCCATGGTCTGTCTTCATAGTTTGGTGTCTGTCCCTCTCTGTGCACATCCTTGTGCCTGGGGAGAGTATTTGTGCTTCAGGGCTGGGAGTTTTGATGTGTCTGAGGACAGTGTGTTTGTGTGTGTGTGTGTGTGTGTGTGTGTGTGTGTGTGTGTGTGTGTATGGGGGACAGCCAGAAGTATATGTTCTCATGAGTGTGGGTTTCCTGTGTTACTTCTAGTGGGGTGTGTTGGCTGGAGTGTGTCCTGCTGTGTGTGATTGCACGTGCTTCTGGAGGTAGACATATGTGTGTTTACAGGTCTGTAGCTCTGTGTGGAGGCTGCATTTGTGCACATGTGGGCGTATCTCTATTCTTGGTCTCTTTGAGCACCCCAGAGAGGCTTGTATGAGTCCATGACTGTCAGTACATATGTCCCTGGGATCCTGGCTCGGTGTGAACATGTGTTTCTGTGTCCCTGAGTGTCTAAGTCTGCGTGTGTCTGCATATGCCTGACTCTGTGGGTATGTGTGTGTGTCGTTATTGCCCTGGGTGTGTGTTCATTTGTGTGTGTTTATATATGTGTCCCTGGGTGACTGTGTGTCCCTATGTCTCTCTGTGTGCATGTTCTGCACATGGGTCTGTGTGTCCCTGGGTATCTGTGTATGGCTCAGCTTGTATGCTAAAGTGGGGAAAAAGGACCCCAAGATTCTGGCCTACCCTTCCCCACCCCAGGCCATCCCTGCTGTTGAGAGGATTGGAGAGATATGAGTGGCTCTTACAGCAGGGTGCTAGACCCCCCCACCCCCATCTTGCCTGCAAAGCCACTGAGGTTAGGAAAATATTGGGAAGAGGCTGAGAGAGGCCCCTGAACATCCCCAGGGCCAGACCCAAGCCTTGGCACAGGCTGTTGGGAGGCAGAAAGGGCCTGTTGGGATCACTTAGACATACGCTTCTTTCTTGTCTTCATAGTGTCTGTTTGTCTCTCTCCCCTGTGCATGTCAAGGGCCAAGTCCAAGAATGGAGGCCGCTGCCTGCGTGAACGGCTAGAGAAGATTGGGCTCAATTTGCCAGCTGGCCGTCGCAAGGCCGCCAATGTGACACTTCTGACTTCACTGGTGGAGGGTGAGTGAGGCCTGAGGATGGGTGTCAGTGTGAGCATGAGGGGAACTATGTCACCCAGTGTGACAGCGTGTGGCTGTCCCTGAGACAAGATGGTGTGTCATGTATGAGTAAGGGGTGTGTGTGATACATGTGTATAGTCTTTATGTGCATGGGCATGCATACACATGTAGGTGCATGGGGGTGAGGTGGGGGTAGGGGAGGCGTGGCCAGTGTTTGGAGGTGGTAAAGGGATGAGGGGATAAGAGTCCCTTCCCTGGACGTTGACAACTCTGGGCTCGATCATCTCGAGCCCAGGCTCTGGGATACATGGTGGCCTCAGCTGCCACCCCTGAGCTCAGAGCCCATCCTCCACGGCCCCAAGAGCAACGGGATTAGGTCTGAGGCTGCTCTGGGAGGGAAACCATAGGAAGTATCTATAGAAGTAGGATGGGGCAGAATAGCCCCTGGCCAGGGGGTCTGAGGTCCAAGGCTGTGCTCCAGGCTCAGAGGTACACCTGGCTGTAGTGACAGCTCATTGCTCTGCCTCTCCTCCCCGCAGGAGAGGCCGTGCACCTGGCCCGAGACTTTGGCTACGTCTGTGAGACTGAGTTCCCAGCCAAGGCAGCTGCCGAGTACCTGTGCCGACAGCACGCTGACCCCGGGGAACTGCACAGCCGCAAGAGCATGCTGCTGGCCGCCAAGTGAGTGAGGGCGCCACGCATGGGTGCTTTGGGGCACCATGCACAGGCTGTCATGGGCGCCATGCATAGGCACGTGTAGGTGCAATGCAGACACAAACACCAAGCATGGGTGCACTGGACACCACTCACATGTACACATGATGTGCAAGTGGCCCCACAGGGACACACGTGGACACGTGAACATTTCTGGGTTCTATGCATCAGCAAAAATGGTGTCACAGACAGGCTTACATAGGCCCATGTGTGCATCCCACACGTCCATACACTGCCCCATGGCATCACCAGCCCCAGTCCCAACATGGTGGTCTTGCTTCCCCTGCCTGAGCCTTGCCCATAGGCCCTTTTGCTCCGGTGACTTCCCTCAGGGCACCAAGACATACCGAGCTGCAAGTTGACCCTCTCTTGTCCTTGCTTCACACCTGACCCCTCTGCAAATCCCCTTGGTGGCTCCCTTACCACCACTCACATGCTACAACCTCAACTCTGGTCTCCTAATCTCACTCCTAGACCTCATCCCAGTGCCTAACCATTCCCTCAGATTTCCTGCACGTGCACTGCTCCTCTGCCCGAGAACCTTCAATGCCCACCCCACCCCCCCAGCTACTGCATTGATTTTCAAACTAGGTTCTGTGCGATGCCTTAGGGCCTATTTAATGAACTGGTATTCCATTCAGATTTCATTTTTAGAAGGGTCCCATTGCAAGAAGAGGCAGAAAGAGGTAAGAAGGGTTAAGTCCAGACTCCTTTGAGGACCCTACAATCTGGCCAGCCCAAACCCCACCCACCGCAACTGACTTTCTGGCTGTATCCTGCCCTCACACCTGCTGCTTAGAACAACATCCAGTCCCCCACCTCCACTCTCCCTCCTTCAGGGCTTCTAAGGCAGAAATGGAGTCACAGACTCAAAGACCTGCTGTGTCTCCTGGGACGTGTGAGTTCATATCGTAGCTGGAGAAACATATCCAGGACAGGACTCTCCTCGCTCATTCATCAATGAGTTAACTCATCAACTCTGGGGCCTGGTCCTGTGTAAAATGCTGACTGGCTTCCACGGTAAGGCAGAGGTGAGACAGGAGTTATGTTCTCCTTCCTGAGCCACATGCGGATGCAAAGAAATGAATAGTGGCCATGAACTGGAGCTAGACTCAAATCCCAGCTTAGTCACTTGGGCAGGTCACCAAACCTATCTGAAACCAGTTTTCTTACATGGTGAGAATGGTTAATAACAGTACGTATCTGTTGTGAGGATTAAGTGAGATGACGCATACAGTGTTCTTGGCACAGCATCTAGGCCTCAATTCATATTCACCACTAACTATTATTTTAGTTCTTCAAGGCAGATTCTGGATTGTTCCCTAATTATTTCAAAGAAAAAGCTCTGTGAAGCACTGGGTGTTTGGGATGGGAGTGGGGAAGGGATCAAGGAAAGCTTCCTGGATAAGGTAGTAGAGCTGGATTGTGAATGTGGGCAGGACATCCACAGGCAGAGATGGTAGGGTATTGGCATATGCCATTTACTAGCTGTGTGACATTGGGCAAGTCAGTTAATGTCTCCAAACCAGTTTCCTTTTCTGTAAAATGGGTATGACCATCATTTGCAGACTATTGACAGTGTCAGCAATCATAAATATATAAAAATTGCCTGCACACAGTAGGTCCTTCTCTCGGCTCAGATCTTTGTCCTCTAACCTCCACCCCTGCTTCCTCCCTCCACCAGGCAGATCTGCAAGGAGTTTGCAGATTTGATGGCTCAGGATCGCTCACCACTGGGCAACAGCCGCCCAGCACTCATCCTGGAGCCCGGAGTACAGAGTTGCCTGACACACTTTAGCCTTATCACCCATGGCTTTGGTGGGCCCGCCATCTGTGCTGCCCTTTCTGCCTTCCAGAACTACTTGCTGGAGTCACTCAAGGGGCTGGACAAGATGTTTCTAAGTGGTGCGGGCAGTGGGCATGGTGACACCAAGGCTTCAGAGAAGGATGCCAAGCACAGGAAATAAATGCTTCTTCCACTGCCTCATCCCAGAGCGTTTCCCAAGGCCTGAAATGAGGCCTTAGTTCCTGGGGGTGGGCCCGAAAGGATTAAAAGGTGGAGCTTGAATCAGGCCAGAAAGAGAACATTCATCCAGAGACCGTGGGTGAGAGGGAGAAGGGGAGGTGGCCTCTCTGCGATGGTTTGTTGGTAAGTTAAGGGCCCAGATGTCTGTCGCATGGGTGCAATTTTCTGACCCTTGATTGCTGAGAAGTGCTTGGACAGGGAATTGGCATGGAGAAGCCTGGTTTTGTGGCTGAGCCCTGTGCCTCAGGGCACCTGGGCGGCGGTGGATTTTCCTAGAGGCCAAAACCTTGCTGTTTTTACTGATGGCAGGAGGGAAATTGTTAACAAACCAGAGGTGCTGAGGAGTTGGTGCCCTCATCCCAGAATCTCCTACCCCCAGAAAAGGGGTGCTGGCAGGGGGCCCCTGTGGGTTTCTTGGAACCATCCCACTCTTGGAAAGAAGTGGGCAGGAGGAAACCCCAAGGAGCAAAGCTAAAGCACAAATTACAGAACTTGAATCCAGGCTGCACTTCACAGTCCTATTGCTGTTTGTCCTACTTATTTATGTATGTTGTAATTAAATTTGAAAGTTTAAAAATGTCTAGTGCAACTTATTTATCCCGATGAGTGGAGGGCTCATTTCACTGTTTTCTGCTTACACACAAAGACGTCCGGCTGGACCAGGATGGAGAGGGAGTTTTTGCTCGCAAAGGGCTGTGGGTGGGCCGGGAAGGAAGGAAGATTGTATCAGGGACCCTGAGGTTGTCATGGGGATTTTGTACTTGCTGTTGTTTCTCTTGACCCTGCAGTCCATGTACCTCTTTGACTCTCCGATGGCTTTCTCATTCTTAATAAAACCTATTCATTGGGTATGAAACCTCCCTGTCCTTCTTCAGCCCAGGCCTGGATTGCCTCTCAAGAGAGCAAGGGGCCTCTAAGGAGGAATCACTGGAAGGGGCTGTGGGCACCTCTGTGTGAGGGGTATAGAGAGTGGGTCTATTTGCTTTGTCAGCGTCTGTTACTTCTCTGTGTGTGTGTGTGAATCCCAGGGCTGTACATGTACTCTTGTAACTTCGTGGGCCTGTGTGTAAATGTGTCAGTCTGGCTGTTAGGTCTGTGTGATATGTTACCATGACCATTGGTGGTGGGTCTGTATGTGTCAGCATGAATGCTCGTGACTACGTGTGTGTGCGTGCGTGCATGCGTGTGTGTGTGTGTCCCCGATGCTAATGCAGCTCTTTTTGAGGATTTCATTCGCTAGGCATCTTTCCTTTCCTGTATCCATCAGTCTTTCCATCTACACAATCATCTACTACATCAGTCCCCAAAGCACTCACGTTCTAGGGTCTCTTCCCCATTTATTTCCCTTGCAGTTAAAAGTTTTTGAAAGATTGCTATACCTCTACCTCCACTTCCTCACCCCCAATTCACTCTTTAACCCACTTCAATCTGGCTTTTACCCCCACCAGTCTACCGAAATCCACTCAGCAAGGTGATCAACAGCCACAATGTCAAATCCAAAGGCCTTTTTCTCTGGACTTAGCAGCACTTGATAGGCTGACCACTTTCTCTTTTTTGAAACACTCTTCTCTGTGGCTCCCAAATTCTGGTTTTCTCCGACTTCCATGGTTCCAACTCTGGCTCGTTCTCTACTTGACCTCTGTTGGTGTTCCCTGGGGACTTCTGCCTGAACTCGAGGCTTGCATGTGAATCAGGATGTCTGATGTCTCCACTGGATTGTCTACCAGGCATCTCAAATTTATGTCCAAAATGGAGCACGTGACCAGGTTCTCAAATCTTGACCTCCTCCACAGTTTCCCTCTCAGTAAATGGTACCACTCCCCACCCAGCTGCTCAAGCTGGAAATGGAGGAGTCCTATTTCTTTCCCTACACCCAATGCATCAGGTCCATCCTCTTTTATCTCCTCTGCCACTACCCTCGTCCTCAGGACTACTGAAGTAACTTTCAACTGGTCTATTTTTACTGGTACACCTTCATACTAAGCCCTGCAATGACCTGGACTTTGTCTACCTCCAACCTTCAACTATTCTCTTCATCATTCCCTTTGCTCTAGCCACACTAGTTTCCTTTTTGTTGCTGCAATTACCACTTAGTTTTGTGCCTCAGGGTCATTGCACTCACTCTTCTCTTTGCCTGGAATGCTCTTCCCCAGTTCTTTGCAGGTGTGTCATCAGACAAGGATGCTGGGAGTTAAGGGAACATGAAGTCCAGGAAGCATCTCCTAGGGAAAGGTCCAAAGATGTGATTTCTTTTCCCAAGAAGCTTCACTGCTTCATCCCACCCATATGAAAGGAGGAATGGAGGAAAGGCTGGAAGTATGTATGCTCTGCTTTAACCAAAGCCCTGTGCCTGGCAAGAGACACTCAACCACTAGAGCTGTTTGAGACTACAGGAAGTTGAGGTGAATAAATGAAATAACAGACATATAGCACTTAAACAATGCTCAGCACGTGGTAATAAATCAATAAAAGGCTGTAAATATCTCTAAGGTGAACATGGAGGGAACCAGTTTATCATCAACCATTCAGTGCTGGACAACTTTCCCTAAGTTAACCATGTAGTCCTCACCAAGTTCTATTTTAGAGATAAAATTCTAACTCTGAGCAACTTGACCAAGGTCAGAGAGCAAGTAAGAGGGGCTCACACAGGTCTGTCTCTTCCACCCCTCCATTCCCACTGCTCCACATGCCCTCTGCAAAGGTGCTCTCAGGTCTGAGTCAAACAAAAGTAGGTTCTCCAGCCCTACGGGCCCTAAGGCTCTTGTCCTCCAGTATATGGTCAAGATGGTAACAGTACAGAGGCAGGAGTATACTGTGGAGAACATAAGTGGCATAAGAAGCTTCTAATGAGGTCTCAGAATTTGACTCTTCCCAGTTAAGTTCTGTTTGTTGGTGATTCCACAGCAAAATATATTGTGTTTTATCCCCTGACAAACTGGGTCTACCCCTACGGAAAGTAGATGATGATTAAAGAAAAAGTATATACAGATTACATGACTTCTTTCTCACAAAGCAAGTAGCTGTGAATTAAGTGGAGAGTATTTAGACTAGGTAAGCATCAATGTTTTGAGTTCACATTCATTTCTTTAAACCTTTTTTAAAATGTTTTATTTATTTTTGAGAGAGCACAAGTGGGGGAGGGGCAGAGAGACAGAAGGACAGAGGATCCGAAGCGGGCTCCACACTGATAGCAGTGAGCCCAATATGGGGCTTGAACTCAGTGAACTGCGAGATCATGACCTGAGCCAAAGTCAGATGCTCAACCAACTGAGCCACCCTAAGTGCCCCATATTCATTTGTCTTAAAGGATCACGGTGCTCCTGAAGGAATGAGTAGCCTTTGACCACCTTCCCTCTTTCAAACCTCATGAAGTTAGGTGAGTGAGGATGAGCAGGCCTTTCTCCTGTCAAACACAACCTCCTAACACACAGAGGAGCTAAGTGAGCAGCAGACAATTAGGATACTGAGAACTTTTGCCTGCGTCGCGCAAAGGGCCCAGACAAAAAACAGTGAAAGGACTCTGGGCTTCAGGCAGAGCGGGCTCAGCCATTGTTGCTGAGCTGGGAAGCCAAGCATTTCTCAAGCTCTCTCAGCACCCTCCTCCACCACTCAGAGGTTCCTTGTCCGCTTCTCCAAACTCTTTACTAGTCAGGGCTCAGCTTCCCTACCCTGAGGCAAACCAGCTGTTCTCTTCTCCAACCTATCTCCTCTACCCCACGAAGGAATAGATTGCTTTCTGTGTATTAATCACCTGAAAGCAGATGGGAACCAATCGGAAGACCATTCTGAGCAGTTCGGGCATGAGTGTTAAACAATCAGTGAATTTTTTCAAACTCCAGGAAATCAATTTAGAGGGATACAGCTGGCATTAAAAAAATTAACTCTGGTGGAAGAAAACAGATGAGAAAGCAGCGTATTGCATTATGACTCAATCACACACATATACATTATCTGTAAGAAAAATTTCAAGAAGCAATGCTTACCCTTCCAGTGGGCATATACAGGTGTGAAGTCATAAATGTATGTTGAGGCCATGGAAATTCAGTTGGATCACGGGCTTTATGAAGTATGAAAGAGGGAAAAGAAACTGGGGAGCTAGCATGGGAGAAGATTATGAAATGCCTCACATGTCAAACTAAAGAACTGGGTTTTATTCTAGAAACAGTGGAAAACCATCAAAGTTTTAAGTGAAAAGATGTATGGATGGTCAAATTTGTAGAGTACAGAGAAAGAACTAGAGAGGAAAAAGATTAAAAGTAGAGAAGGTAGGAGGCTGTTAAAATAGTCCAGGAAAGGTGAATGATAAACCAGAATACTTGGGAATTTTACTAAAAGAGATTTAGGAAGTAAAACTGCTACAACTCAGTGACTATGTGAAGGAAGGAGAAAAAGGCACCAAAAATGGTGCCTAGCTAAGTGCAGTGTGGCATCCTGAACTGTATTCCAGAACAGAAAAAGGACATTCATGGGAAAATGGGTAAAATCTGAATAAAAGTCAGAGCTAATACTAATGTACTAATCAATATTGGTTTTAGTTTTTGACAAATGCACAGTGGCTATGTAAGATGTTAACCTAAGGGGGAGCCAGGGGAGAGGTATAAGGAAACATTGCATTATCTTGTGCAATTTTGTATAAAACCAAATTTATTCTAAATTAAGTTTCTTAAAAATAAATGATGCCAGGGTGCCTGGCTGGCTCAGTCGGTAGAGCATCTGATGCTAGCGGTGAGATGCTTAGGAATAAGTTGATCTGGGGCTCAGAAAAGAGATATGGATTGGAGAAAGGAGACTGGGAGTTAGGGTAGGCTGGTGGACTTACCCAGCTTGCCCTGGGGACACTTCAAAGACAGAGAACCATTTCATTCCTGGTGACGCATGGATGCAGAATTACATGTTTATTCCTGGTGAGCAGTGGATGCAGTATCACAATGATTATATACTTACCGCATACCAGGCCCTGTTCAAAACGCTTCACATTACCTCATGGAATCCTAACTATCCCCCATGGAATAGGTACAATTTTGACCATTTCACAGATGGGAAAACCATGAAGCAGGACTCCTAAATTTTAGTACGGATACTCAACTGGGGCAAGCATCAGAATCACCTGTGGAGCTCTAAAAATAGATGCCTTAGAAAAAGACCCAGAAATCCAGCCAAAAGCCAAAACCTATGCATATTCATAGTGGTAGTAGAGGTTGAACCAGCTGTGGTGATATGAATCTCTTTTCCCCCATTTACCCAATGATTAAATTTCTTCTTATGGTTTAAACATCTACCACAGGTGTCTCACAAGGTATATGACATTCTAATCTGATGTTAACACAATAGTTAGTACAAAGGTTCTGAATGTAGGTAGTATCTTAGAGAGATGGTATTTTACTTCAGATAAACAAAAGAATTATCTGTATATGGTATTAAGAGTAGCACAGAACTGGATAAAGTAGGGCTCATCTTAGTTTAAGACCAAGTGGGGTTTAGGGGTACCTGGGTGGCTCAGTTGGTTAAGCATCCCACCGGCTCAGGTCATGGTCTCCCAGTTTGTGAGTTCGAGCCCTGTGTCAGGTTCTGTGCTGACAGCTCAGAGCCTGGAGACTGCTTTGGATTCTGTGTCTCCCTCTCTCTCTGCCCCTGCCCCACTCGCACTCTGTCTCTCTCTTTCTCAAAAGTAAAACGAGACATTTAAAAAAAAAAAAAAAAGACTAAGTGTGTTAACTGGACCAGCAGCAGCAGCATCAATTGGAAATGTTAGAATGCAGAATCTCAGGCCATACCCCAAACATGTAGAAGCTACAGGGGTAGGACCCAGCAAGCTGTGTATCAATAAGCCCTCCAGGGAATTGAGATTCATGCTTA